TGGAAAATATGCCATTTGTGGTTAGCCTTAAAGGATGTAGGCAGTGTCGGTGAAACAAGGACTGAGAAGGACAGTAGGAGTTGATAGAACTTACTGAGAACAGTTAAGATGGATTTTTAAATAAAGTCAGCTTTATTTGGTATATTTGTGTCTAAACAAATGACTCTAGAGAGGAGGAGTAAAGGAAATCTATTTGAGTGTATTATGGCCAGGAGACATGGTTTATAAAGAGTTAGAATTAAACTGCATATTTCATTTTTATTCCACGCACAACTGTGGAATTGGCAGCTGTGTGAAACCTTGATGCTAAAGGGAGTGAGGGCTGCTTGGGTGATTTGCTGGGTTTCATCACCTCATTATTTAGAGAGATGAAGAAGTTATTTTGTAGAAATAAAAAGATGATGGAAGATAGATGATTTTAAATAATTCAAATGAAAACCCAGAATTTAAGAATCAAGCCTGAATCTGTTGATATATTTGAAGTCCAAGTTATATTTAAAGTTACAAATGTCAATGTTTCTCTTTCGGACTGAAAATATCACTAGGCAATATTTTGATTGGACAGGCAGATTAAAGATGTTCAAATACCTGTGCATATACTGGGAGCTGATGGATTGAGACCTATGTGAATTTTCTGTGGGGTCAAGTTGTAGAAGACCACAGTTGAGAAAGCGTTCACAGAACTTATGTGTCATGAGATGACACCATTGGAAAAATATCGTGCACTTGATCCCCTAAATTTTCCAGACTGTCCCTTTCTTGTAACTTTCTCATGAATCTCACTGGGCTTCTCCTATCTTCTAAAAAGAATATAAAATGGATCCTCCATGCTCTTTCCTTAATATAGCCTGTTGTGACTTCATAATACTGAGTGGGAACAAGCTGGTTTCTTTGAAAGAATGATAGGGTTCAATCTTTTATTGTTTAGTTTGTAGTAATGTAAGCAATACATAAATATGCTCCCTGTAAAAATTAAACATTTCAGATAAGAGAGTCTCCTTTCACCAGCATTTACAATGATAAGCATCTCCCCTGTCTCTTCCTATGATATATGCAGAGTTTTTACTGTGCATTTGCGTGCATGGAAATGCACCCACAGAAGAAATACAGAACCACTTTGAGTGTAAGGGTGTGTGTTTTAAATAAATCATTCTTCACACAATGCTTTCAAACTTGCCTTTCTTAGTAAAAAAAAGATTCTTGGGAAAAGTCTATATTACTATATGTAGACTTAACTCATTTTTAAAATTGCTGTATATATCCTATGCTGTGGATATATCCCAGTTTATTGATCCCTCTGCCTACTGGTGGATATTTATATTGTTTCTAATGTTCTACTTATCAACAATGCTGCATTCATTTCTTCCTAGCCCTGTATGAGCTTTCTTCATAATAGTCTCCCTTTTTTTGTTTATCTCTTCTGGTTAGGTAATCTTCTTAAAATGCTGGGAACCCATGAAATGTAATAGCTAATTTTGTGCAAGGACCAATAATATCCTGTAAATTAGCCTCAAAATTGCCCAAACCATTTCCTTTGGTGAATTCTAAAGCTTCATTAGTCAAATAGGCCTGGCTGGAGCTGTTCCCACCCTGTCCGTAACTTTTGGAATAAGTTTTCTTTATCTTTCTGCCTGCCCATCCTCAGAGCAGCCTTTGTTCCCTGGCCCAGTGGGAGCACAGCAAAGTAGAATGCACTTTCATAGACTAAGTCCATTACTCCCTCTCCTACTGTCTACCAGAGTTTTATCCAGTATATGATGGGGGAAGACTTTATTTGAGATGACACAGAAGAGAGAACAGATCTCTTCTCTTGAGATCTGTTATTATAACCAGTCATTTGTGATCTTATAACCTGGAAAAATCCCGGAAGCCTAGTAAGAGGTAGTTAAGTTTCAGTCACAGCTGAGTGATTTACCCATAAGTATTTCTTAATAGCCCAGCAAGGAGTCATAAGTAAGATCAGGCTTTTGTTGATAGGATTATTTCTGTGCAAGGTAAAATTATCCTGGTATGAAGTACAGGAAAACAAAAAGCCTTTTTCTTTAGGTCTTTAACAAAAGAGCAGGCACAGAATGTCTAGGGGGCGGCTACTGTTGGAATCAGAAGAATGCAAAAATCCAAATGAGGGTACAGCATTTCACTGTGTTTTTAGTGTTGATCTTGCAAAGCGCATGCCTTGTATCACCAAGTTAGCTACCCTTGGTATAATAGAGATGGTTTGTTTTGGAACATAGGACAAGTGTTAAAGGTTTCTTGCATATATCACTAACAATTCTACACAGTAACTTATTGACGTAATTTTGACATTCTCGAAAAGTGTGCTCTTTTGTTTAACTCTCTCAACAATACTGACCCAGGCAGGATAAGCAATCCTGTAGATTATCCAGAGTAGGTGATTTATTTCATCATGGTCAAAACATATACAAAATCTGTCTTCACACCCATCTGTTCCTAGAGATAGAGATAGATACATATTTATACAAAATAGAGATATGTATTTATACAAAAATAGAAGGGAACCATGGGATTTTGAGGTGTGCTGTGAAATTCCTACTATTTATCTTTTGTGTTTGACTATCCGTAGGGCTGTAAGCTTACTCAGAGCTCACATAGATGCGCCCAGGTACTGTAAGTCAACCACTGTGCTTGGTCTCTGCCCTGTTCTTGTCCTGTGAACTGAAGAAGGCCTCAAATGCATTTGGTTTGGTGAGGCTAGAAGCACTTGTATTTGCTACCTCTATGTTTAAAAAAAAAAAAAAAAAAAAAAAAAAAGCCCATTTTGTGTGTCTGTTCCCTATAAGAATTGAGTTCTTTGCCTGCTCTGTTTTCAGACATCAAGCCTTACTTTAATGTGTTTTTCTAACTCTGTGCTCCCCATACATACTTGATCATCAAAATCACCTGAAAATACTGTGAGTTCTATGATCAGACAAGTTTAAGAAACAATCTTAGCCTGATGTGTGAGATCTGTCTCTTGGAGTTTAATTGCTGAGTCCTGTCAAGGACCCAGGTCCATAGCATGATCCTGCAAGCACTTGGTGTCTGGCATTGCTCTTGGCAGTAAATGAATTAAAACTACAAATAAGTTAGGAGGCAAGCATCACTTCCCAAGGATCCTTTCCCAAATCAGGAGAGGCTCAGTAAGTGCTGTGAATCATAGTAATATTTATTCATTATTTCAACAATGATTTGAGTGTACACTATATGCCAGGAATTTGTGCTCAGTGCTGGGGACACACAGCTGAGAATGAGGCATTGTTTAGAATGAGCTAACATTTACTGAAGTGCTTATGGTGGGATGAATACCCAGCTAACTGCTTCACGTGCCTTTGCTGGTTATAACTTCGTAACTGTCCCATGAGGTGGGTAGTGTCACCATCATTTTAAAATTAAGAAACTCTTATTTCAGAAGTTTGACTGACTCTGTCAAGGTCACGATCTCATAACAGGGAGATTCAGAGTCCATACCGGACGTATATTCCTGTCTCTGTTCATCTTCTGCTTAACACAATCTATGTGTCTCCACACTTTCCTCTTTCTACAGCCATCACTCCGTGATAGAATCGCCTGGTGAACTTTTAAAAAGTATCCTTGCCTGGGCTTTACCCAAAACAGATGAAAGAATAGTTGATGGGGCCCAGGCATGAGCATTTTTCAAAGCTCTCTGGGTGATGCCAATGTGTAGAGATGGTTGAGAAGCATTTCGAGCATTGTTAATTGACATCGAATACATACTGCTCCTGCCAGCCTCATGGTTTCTAGCATTCTTCTTAGATCATTTGGCTGATTAAATGATTAATGATTCCAAATCACCTTTCTTCCCTTTTAAACAAACAGAAATCTATCAAAATATAGCAAATACTTTCATAATGCAAAATGTTCCTCAGTGAGGGACATGATGAAAGACCCATTTAACTGGGAATTTAGAAACTTGAAGATCTATTTTCAGGGGGAAGTATAGTCAACAGTGAGTGATGAGGAATGACCTGGGGTCTAGAGCACCAATGAGCTCCTGGATATCTCGTTTTCTGATGTGATTCTGAGATCCTGAGATCTTTTAATCTGTTGGGGAAAGAAAACCTTGGGACAGATGGTAGTTTTTGAAAATTTCCCTCAACCCTGGTGAACACAGGTCATACATCAACTTATTTTTTTTTCCCCAAATCCAAGTCAAAGTAAAATAAAAGCTAAATAGGAGCTTACTAATTTGGATGCCTTAATATATGTACTTTATACTAAAGATTATTTTGAATGCTCAAAGAAAAAAGAATACATTAAAAAGTAGAAGAATAGACATTTGCATTTCTTGAGGCTGTTGGACAACTTTACTCAAACAATGCATGCATATATACTTATGTAAACTTTTGATTTAAGAATTCTGCGTTTCTTGCTGTCAACACTTTGTTAAACATCTATTATATGGTCAGTAATATCTTGCCTTTTAAAGATAGCAGTCTAATTAATCATTGACTCTCCACTAATTAAATCTGTTTTTATCTTGTCTTCAATCAGTGGGTTGTCACTGATCCCTATGACAGGTTTTACTCAAAGCATCTATATCAAATGTTAAGGGAAAATGGTTAGTTGAAATAATCACAATATTGTGGTCTATAAAATTTCTAGAAAGAGAAAGACAAGGAAAGTAAATTTGGGGGTCACTGTATTTCAACAAGTTTGAGGCACTTTTATGAGAAGAAAAAAATCAAGGCTACCTGGGAGGGGGGAAACTTTTTAAACCATTAGGTCTTTAGACAGAGAAAGAAAGAACAATGACTTCCACCCCACTGTCATAGTGATTTAAGGTGAGTATTATCTTTGCATTTTACAAGTCAGACAACTGATAGGACAGTTGGATCATAAATTTTCGGTAGGGTCCAGAGTCATTTTATGACTATTACTAGAAAAGATCATTACCAAAAGAGTAAACTGAGAAAAAAAAAAAAAAAGAAAAGAAAAAGAAAAACGTGAAAAATGGCCTCCTTTTTTACATTTCCACATAGGTGATCTCCATACCAGGAGATGAACTTGAACTTGGTTGGGCGGGAGACGAACCTGGTTGGGCGGGAGACTGGAGCCCCTCAGAGAATTTGGGATTCTTCCATTTTTACTGGGAGGGTTGGCAGGTATAACATGTGTTGTTATGTGAGTCCATGAGAGCCTCTGGGGTTCTTACTCCCTGCCTCTCCATGTGGTAGAGAGTCAGTCGCTTACTCTGAAGCACTCAACTGATTTCTGTCTGTGGCTTACCCATGAACAGTGGCTTGGAAGTGTGAAAGCATGAGAAGCATGCAGTGGAACAGCATGCGCTGCCGCCATCTTCTACTTGGTTCTGCATGGGAAAGCTCCTGGGCTGGTTGCCTCTGGGCTCAGGCTTTTTTCTCTCTCTCCCTACAGAACTCACTGAAGGCTTCAAATCGGAAGAAGAAGAGAACAAGCTTTAAAAGAAAAGCCAGTAAAAGAGGGATGGAAGTAGGTGTTTCAGAGTTTTATTCTGAGGAATTTTCACTTTCTTTCCATAACCTACTCTGCCCTATGAGATCAGATCTAAGTTGATTTTTCTGATCTATCTTCTACCACTGCTTTCTCCTCACTGCACTCTAACCACAATAGAATTCTTTCTGTTCTTTTTAAAAAAACAAACTCTCAAAACTAACCTCTGCACTTGCCTGGAAATATTATCCCCAGGATGATGATGATGAAGATCAAAGCTAGTATTTCTGGAATATTTGGAGTTTACAGAGTAAAATAAAAAGCCTGGCTTAATTCTCTGGAGCAAATGATAACTTGAGATACTGTCTTCCAAGTCTTACATGGAAGTTGTGTTAAGAGTCAGCCCTGGGAAACAAAATGTAGGGTTTTTCCACCTCCCTTGCCTTGGGGTTGCGTTTCAAGCCATGGATGTGTATCCTAACAGTGCTGATCGCTTCTTTCAGCAGGAAAACAAAGGTCGTCCTTTTGTGATAAAACCCATCTCTTCTCCTCTCATGAAACCCTTGCTTGTATTTGTGAATCCCAAGAGTGGAGGCAACCAGGTGAGTCATTTTTCATGATTTTTAACTGAGAAGTTTTGATAAGTTCTTGAAGACACAACTCTCACGGCCAATTAAAATAGTACCACTAGGATCCAGGCTTTGGAAGACACCGGTTTCTCAGGAACAAGGTTATTGTTTCTCTGATAGCTTTACACATTACAGGGCTGTGTAAAACCTAGATGTTCTATAATTCGTCTGTCTGCTTCCATATAAGACTCTAACAGAGGCACTTAAACCTAACTACTGACTTTTTCCTTACAGATTTTCAAGAAAGGATATTCCAGAATTTCTCTTAGTTCATATGTTTCAGGATTCCTCAATTCTTGTAGTTAGGAGGTCCTTTATCAACTTCTTTTTATTTCTTTCTGTTGCCATTTAGATACAACTACTTTCGTCCCTATCCTCAGAGAAGAAGGAAGGATGATTCATGAGTCATGATAATCACTACCAAATACCACCAACATTATAGAAAATATCAACTTCTTAAGGTTTCACTTGGTCCTAGCCCAAATTTGATAGTACAGATAGTTATCTCCTTTGAGAATAAAGAAATTGACTTAGAAAAGTTAAGTCTTAAGGCATGCCTAAAGTCACACTGTTCTTTAAAGGACAGAATTTGTTCTTGAATCCTGGTCTTTGTCTCTTCATCCAATTCTCCTCCCACTCTCTGAGGCTTCTTATCAATACTCTTCTATGGGCTTTAATTTTCTGTTATTTTCGTCTGAGTTTGGATGAGAAAATATTTTCTTTATCCATGAAGTATATATTTTACATTTTGAGACAAGATTCCTTCAGGTTTTACAATAAACAACTGGAGATTTGAAACCCTTTAGTCATCCCACATAAGGAAGGTAAGTTGTATAATTAGAATTGACCCAATGGTCCAAGATGATGCTCTTATTACTAAAGACAATGGGCATTGTCTGGAATGTATTAATTACAATAAAACTTCTCTTATGGGAGCTTATGATTTAAATGAAATATTATTCTTCCTTTCATCTCTTTCTTCAAAATTCTTAAAAACTTATGATAAAAATGTGTATTAACATTTTGTAGAACAAAGAAAAGAGTTTGTGTAAGCAAAGAAACCATTTGCTTTCAAGACCTGCATTTTTGAGTTGCTGAGAAATCTTTGTGGAGTAATGATGGCAATTCTAAGACATCATTAGAGGAGGACCTAGACATTGGTTTCCTTGAAATGAGGTTTAATTTTCCCTGAACCATACCCACTCTCTTGGGCTAGTATCTCTATGTCCTATCAAAGGTTAGAGATGCAGTTGGGAACCATGAAACATGGAAATGTAATTGGTTCCATGATTTTGGCCACCTGAGCACAACATATTAATTAGTTTCAAATATATTTTGTCATGACAGTCCACATATAAGATGCGTTTATTAAATCATTATAAGCTCTCTTTCCTAGGGCACACAAAAGCTTGTAAGTTATCTATTTCTTTAAGGAGCTGATGATCCAGTTAAGACATAGCCTGTTCCTATTCCAGTCTATGTATAAATTATTATTAATGGGGACTTCAGAGATTATCTAATATTACTTCCTATTTCACTAAATAGAAAAGAGAGGTCAAGGAAGCTTAAAGTGAACTTTTCTAAAGACATCTTGTTTGTTAATGACACAAAAGGAACAAATGGAAAATGATTTAAGCAACATTAACTGCATGTGACTTCTAAATTGAGTGGCTCAGACTGCAGTGCTATGGTATTTCAGAGGTAAGCAGTGACTTGGGAGCGATAAGGAAATGGTGTCATGGACATGGCTGAAATCAAAGATGGACACTACTTAGTTATGTAGAGGAGAGAAGACTGGAAGGACTGTCCTTTTCCTGCTCTTTACTGTGGCAGATTCCTGTGTGGCAAATTCTTGTTCATCCTTCAAGGCTCAGTGGTGCCTTTCTGAACCATTTCTGGAGATCAATCATCCTGTCCACTATGCCCCGATAGCCCTTGGTACACATTTGCATGATATGAACTGCAACATAACTGCTCTATGTGCATCTTCACTGTTGGGATACAGGTCCATCATTGAATCTGTGATTGCTAGAATACAGCACATAGTTAAATAATTGTATAATAGGATTAGAAGAACAGATGTCATGATGCCGATTATTCATTTTGAGGACAATATGATGAGTGGTGCATGCATATTAAGTTATTGGAAATGTGATTAGATAAAGATCAGAATGATCCTATGGAATCATGTCTCCAAGAAACAGGATACTTCATATTGAAGACTTTGGATTTATGCAATGGAAACTAGTTTTTTTGCTGTTTAAAATATTTTAGGTTAAAAAACCTTTTGGCTTTTGAACAGAGGAGTAATATGGTGGAATGTAATGTGCATATGACTCGGTTGGGAATCGTGTTACAACGCAGATTCTGCTTCAGTAAGTCGGGGTGGGCCGTAAGATGCCGCATTCGTAACAAGCTCGCAGGTGCTGATACTGCTGCTCAGAGAACCATACTCTGGTTAGCAGGAGCTTACTGTGATCAATAGAAAAATAGATATTTTTTGTTAAATCCTGAGTTTTGCCTTTTCGTAATTTACTTATTCTATTCACCTGCTTTTAACTATAAAAGCATTCCTGTCTCTTTCCCTCTTTGAAACTTAGGCTTTAGACTTTTTTTTTTTTTTTTTTTTTTCATTTTTAACTTGCTTAGTCTTCTGTTTTTTAAGTAAATGACTGGGCAGTATTGCCACCTACTGGCAAGAAAAACAGCTTTTTTCTTTATGTAATATTTTACTTGTGTAAGGAAAACATTTTGAAGGAATGTATTGGGATGAACATATGTAAGGACTGCTTCTATGTGTTTCTTTTAAGAAATCCCATATTTTAAAACTCTTTAATTTTTTTCTAAATTGATACATTATTTTTTGTACATACTTATGGAGTACATATGCTATTTTGATAAATTTATGGCATGTATAATGGGTATTTAGCACATCTATCACCTCAAACATTTGTCATTTCTTTTTCTTTGAAATATTTCAAATCTTCTAGTTATTTTGAAAGGTACAATATACTGTAGTTTAGTATAGTCACCCCACTGTGCAAACACTAGAACCTTTTTCTTCTATGTAGTTGTATGTTTGTACTCACTATCCAACCTCTGGTCATTCCCCACCCCCACCACACCCTTCCCAGCCTCTGGTAACTATCATTCTACTCTCTACCTCTGTCAGATCCACTTTTTTTAGCTCCTCTACATATGAGTGAGAGCATGCCAATTTTTGTCTTTCTGTGCCAGGTTTATTTCGCTTAACATAATGACCTCCAGTTCTATCTTTGTTGCTGCAGATGACAGGATTTCATTCTTTTTTATGGTCAAATAGTATTTCATTACGTATATGTATCACGTTTTCTTTATCCATTCTTCTGTTGATGAACACCTAGGTTGCTAAATCTCTTCTTTTAAACTTCGCAGTAGTTGTCTCTTTGTTTTTCCAACACTCTTAAGGTAGAGATGACACTGGGTGTTTTGCAAAGCTGTAGAGCTTGGTAGCGCTGCTGCTATTGTATTATTGGGATTTGAATTATTTGAGGAATCAGGGACCAAAATTTCAACTTTTTTTTTTTTTTTTTTTTTGAGACGGAGTCTTGCTCTGTCATCCAGGCTGGAGTACAGTGGCACGATCTCAGCTCACGGCAACCTCCACCTCCCGGGTTCAAGCAATTCTCTTGCCTCAGCCTCCCAAGTAGCTGGGATTACAGGCATGTGCCACCACACTAGGCTAATTTCTGTATTTTTAGTAGAGATGGGGTTTCACTGTGTTGGCCAGACTGGTCTGGAATGCCTGACTTCAGGTGATCTGCCTGCCTCGTCCTCCCAAAGTGCTGGGATCATAGTACTATGCCCAGCCAAGAATTTCAACTTTGAATACCTCCTTCTGCGGAAAGAGATAGTAAGTAGAAGATAAAGTTTACTCCAATGCAATCCCCTCCTATATGTGGAAACTTTCGAGTACTAGAGAAATAGGCCCCCTCCCTTACACTTCTGTTTGCCTTAATGTCAAAACTTAGATTTTTCTTTGAGGTCCTGGCCTCATTAGCACATTTCTGAGTTTTATAGAATCCTGTGATGTTTCTCAGTATTTCCTGCTTTCACACTGGCTCTCCCTCACGTTCTCTCATGACTTTCTCTTCCAGTGACCTAGACTTTAACTTCAGGGTAAAGCAACGTTCTGACCTCTAGGATGATTCTAGCTGATCATCCCCCAGAGCCGAGGGATCCAGACCCTGGCTTTGCATGCTGTTCAATGTGGAATCCTAGGGTAGAGGTATGGCAGGAGTTGGATCCTTGGATTAAAAGCCCCAGGTCTTTATCAGTAGGGTGATCAAGGAAGAGGTATCCAGTCTGTGGACAGACTCATGCCAGCTGAGTTTACACCACCATTTGGGAATAGGCTTTCTCAGACTAGGGTCACCCCTCCTAAGTTGGGGGCCAGTCACATCAAGGTGAGGAGAAGTGGAAGACAGAAAGAGTAAATAACTTCAGATGAGAAATTTTAGTCCCAAAACTGTTTCTAAATAATTGGACAAACAACTTTAATGAAGTACTTACTTTTCTTCAGTACTGGAAACTTCGCAACCGAGTGATAATTCAAGGATAATTATGTTTAGATAAAAGTTTAGGCTCCTAAGGTTTAGAGTAGGCAGGGAAGAGGGCAGAGGGCAGTCAATAGATGAGGACACTTGTCAAAATCTAACCTCAAGATCTTCTTGTCCAGCCAGCCTCAACAGATGGAATTAAAACAACCAAATGATGAATCTATGGAAAGTCCTGTTTCTGAAATCATAATATTGGTGGGAGAACTGGGCAGCTAAGACCCAAACTAGCCCCTGTGATAGGTCTGGCTCCTTAGTCTGTAGCCAGAGTGATGCATAAAAAAAGTCAGTTTGGAGAAAAAAAAAGGTGGTCTGAATCTCTTAATTAAGACTTTTCAATGACTCCTTGTTTTCTATAAATCTCAAGCTCTGAAACTTCATCTATTTGGGGTGGAAAGAAAGACTTTACTTATTTTTCAAGACACATTTCAGATATTTTACTTACAATGCCTTCTAATCTCTCAACTCGGGCTAAGAGTGTTTCCTCTGGGCACTCATCCTCCTCAGCAGACATCTGTATCAGAGAAGTTCTCATCTTTAGTGAATTAATTTATTTTGTTTTGCTCTCCTTCCAGTAGATTCTGAGATCCTGATGGTACACATGGACAGAGTAGGGGCCCAATACGTATTATTGAATAAGTGATGCATTCTGTTTGGATTGTTTGAAGCAGTTTGAAATAATTATTTCTTAAGCCCTTCCTCTCATTAATGTATTTTCCTCTGGCCTTTCTTATCGTCTGGGCAGTTGTTCTTTCTATAATCTAGACAATGCCTGCATGATATAAACCAAGACTTAGTAACATAGCAGAGTTTCAGCCTACACTAGAGTTATGGTGCTTTGATGAAGATTGATGTGCTGTTTGAACGGATCAATTCTTGATTGCTTCTCCACACCCCTAACAACTGTCATTAGGTTTTCCTTTATGAATAATGCACAGAACTTCCTTCTGAGAGCAAGATCATCTCTGTCTTGTTCATCTGTGTATTTCTCTGTATTCTCTTACCTAAAACTGTGCCTGTCACATAGTAGGTGAATGAATGACTCTTGTTAAATCCAGCCACTTTTTGGGAATTTGTATTCTCCTGTTGTACTCCCTTGCCAGTACCTGCTGCTTGGAAGAATAATGTTCTTTTCACTCCTTAGGAATACCCATTCTTATAATATCTATAAAACTTCTGTGGTCGGTGAGGTATATCTACAACAGCATGCATGGATTGGGATTGGCATATAAGCTGTTTTTTTTTTTTCGTTTAGAGAAAATTGCACAAAAGTTGCAGTTTCTGTGTTTAGCATTATAGCATGTGATAACTATGAGAGTGTTGGAGACTTGTTAGTGAGTGACAAGTGTCTAAATGAGCAGCTTTAATTGTACTATTGAGGAAGAAACAAATTACTCTTCTCCTGGTGAATTATTTGTGTAACCATTCAGTTACATTTAATAAATTACCTCTATTAAAGCTTTAAAGTGACTTAACCTAGAGGTAACAGCAGAGTTAATATAATTCGTTTAAATGTGTGAGTTAGATCTTTGTTTCTCCACCCACTAGGTGGAGCATTTTTTCAATGCTTTCTTTTAGACACTTATCATTTTTGGTAATAAATACCATATTTTGGAAAGAAGATTACTTTTTAAAATATGTAGTCATATCATGCCTGAATGTCAACTTCAACAGGGTAGCCATGCCTGGCTCTGCAAGTTATCTCTACACGATTGCAGGAATGTTATTCCAATAGACTACAATAGAAATGGCACCTCTGCGGCCACTCAGACCTTTTAGAGAAATTCAAGTTAAGGAAAACAATCTGTCAATGCTTTTTATTTTTATTTTGTGGAAGATGTTAATTACCTAGTAATGTTTGCATGATAGGGAGGCTGAAACTGAGATGTGCACTCTCCTATAGCAAAGGTGGAAAGGAGTAATTAACATCAACAATTCAAACTACTCTAGGAATCTAAAACTGAACACAAAATTTTCTTTTCTTTTCTTTCTTTTTTTTTTTTTTTTTTTTTTGAGACAGAGTCTTTCTCTGTCGTCCAGGCTGGAGTGAAGTGGCGTGATCTCGGCTCACTGCAAGCTCCGCCTCCCGGGTTCACGCCATTCTCCTGCCTCAGCCTCCTGAGTAGCTGGGACTACAGGTGCCCGCCACCACGCCCAGCTAATTTTTTTGTATTTTTCATAGAGACAGGGTTTCACCATGTTAGCCAGGATGGTCTTGATCTCCTGACCTCGTGATCCACCCGCCTTGGCCTCCCACAGTGCTGGGATTACAGGCGTGAGCCACCGCGCCCAGCCTGAACAAAGAATTTTCTAGCAAGTCAGTTGGAAATGTTTTATAAATTAGTTGGTCATTAAAATAACTCCTGTGTTACCTATTAAACATAAAAGATTATTCAAGATAATCCCAAACATACTTCATAACAAGGCTCAGCATGAGAAGAGGGAAAATGATCCAGTATTTAGTGTGTAAATAGATCTAAATCTGCTTGAATTTGATAGGAAGCAAAATATGTCATTTGGTGAAACTGAAGGATTCGTTGTAGTTATTAGATAGAGTGTGATTCCTAAAATTATAGCAAGCACATGATAAGGCAGAACTTTTAAATTATAGGTTTGGCTGGTACATGCAACAAAAGACCTGCACTGGCCTATGTAACAACAGGAGTAACAATGTGATAATTATAAGCTACACTTTACCGCTCACATTTGCAAGTGTAATTTAATGAATAGATTAACAGGCTGCAAAAAAGAAAAGGATTAACATTAGCAAAGGTCTGTTTTGTGCCACATACTGTGCTAGATACGTGACTGTTACTGATTGATTTAATTCTCATATTCACCCTGGAAGGTGGACATCCTTTCTATTTTATATACTGCATTTCTGCAAGGTTATAAATACTCATGATTATTCAGAACACTGAAGTTAGTTTGACCTCAAATCTCATACTATGTCTGCTATACTAGGATGACTCTTAAATACAGTTTATTAGTTAAACAAGCCTTGGAATATTTTAAGAAAGAGCAATTGTGATATCTACTAAAACAACAATATTTTGAGCAACAAACTTGGCTCAACTGGTCAAATATTATTTGCTATGGGTGATAAAATGGGGCATCCTGCTCATTTTTAAAGCTCTTTTGGTATTGCTTGATAAAAAGGTTCTTCTTGAATTTCTTGTTTGCTCAATCCACTTTAAAAATGATCTCTAAAGTGACCTGATGTCTGCTATAATGATGATCTCTATAAATGTCACAGTTACTTAAAACGCCCCAAAAATGTTCAAGTGAGAGAGAAGTGTTTGGCTTAAACAAACCGGTATAGGCATGGAGATTGAAAATGTCAAAGTAAGCTGTAATCTTACTAAGGAAGTTTTATATATATATGAAATAACTGGGACCCTGGGATACTTTTGCTTCAGTTAGAAAAAAGTGTTTCTATAAAATTATATTGGCCGGGTGCGGTGGCTCACGCCTGTAATCCCAGCACTTTGGGAGGATGAGACGAATGGATCACGAGGTCAGGAGATTGAGACCATCCTGGCTAACACGGTGAAACCCCGTGTCCCCTAAAAATAAAAAAAATAAAAAAGAAAAAAGACCAGGTGTGATGGCAGGCGGCTGTAGTCCCAGCTACTCGGGAGGCTGAGGCAGGAGAATGGCGTGAACACGAGAGTCAGAGCTTGCAGTGAGCCGAGATCGCGCCACTGCACTCCAGCCTGGGGGACAGAGCGAGACTCCGTCTCAAAAATAATAATAATAATAAAATAAAATAAATATGTAAATACAATTATATTAATACTTAGCTAATGCTGCCCATATTTTATATTATACAGACAATAATCTGCACAATAAAGTGAAAATTAATGTCAAATTACATAGGTTCACTAATAACTTTTCTGTATGGATTTTCATACATTAATGATAGTAAAATAAATATTCATTAAGGGCTTGCTGCATTTTAAACACTGTAATGTACTTCTCAAAAATTATGGCTTTTAACCTTGCAACAAGTCTGCAAACTGGGTATTCTTGTCTCTATGTTAAAGAAAAGGTGGGTTGAGCTAAATGAAGTTAAGAAACTTGCCCAGAGTTACATAGGGGATAAACATCTAGCCTGACATTCAACCTACGTATATCCATGACCAAAGCTGGTGATTTTAACTATACTTCTATACTGCTTATAATTAGATATTATTTTATTTACTTATTCATCATTCATTCACTCACTCATTTTTATTTGTTGAGACAGGGTTTCACTCCTATCACTCAGGCTGGAGTGCAATGGTGCGATCTCGGCTCACAGCACACTCCACTTCCTCGGCTGGGACTAAAGGCATGCGTCACCACACCTGGCTTATTTTTGTATTTTTTGTAGAGACAGGATTTTTGTCATGTTGCCCAGGCTGGTCTCAAACTCCTGGGTTCAAGCAATCCACCTGCCTCAGTCTTCCAAGGTGCTGGGATTATAGGCATGAGCCACCATTCCCCGTGTATTATTTTAAATAAAAGGATTGATTTTTTTAAATGAGCAGTGGAAAATTTCTTCCTATTATTGCCTTTTTGTGTATTTATTTTTTACAGGGAACCAAAGTCCTGCAGATGTTCATGTGGTACCTGAATCCACGGCAAGTCTTTGATCTTTCTCAGGAAGGGCCAAAAGATGCGTAAGTCTGGAAATAGTCTCCATGGTCCATAAGTATTTTAGGCAAGTGAGCACTTTCTGCTTCATTATCTGATTACCTTGTGAGGTATTTCCTGACCGTCTGTCATCTACTTTCTCACCTGTATCTCCTTCCTTTAAAACTTCATCTAAAGTTCTCTCCTACTCTTTCTTGGCTTAGTTCCCTTCAAAACATATCTTCTCAGCTATTAACTCAGGATACGTCTAGTGTGTTTGTTACTTACATGTGTGTAACTGCAGACTGTTCTCCACAAATCTGTGAATTGAGAAAGGACTCATTGTTTTTCTATTTCTTCATGTACAACTTTGGAAATGCACATTAGTGGGAATGTAAATGTATGTCTGTGGAGGGTGGAGCCATATTTGTTTACAAACATTTGAACTGAAAAGAGTGTATGTGTGCGCACGCGCGCCTGCGTGTGTACGAGAGACAGAATCAATTGATTATACCTGAGGACTCTGCACAAGTGCGGGGAAGACATATTAATTCCTGCTCAATCCCTTTTCTGAGCTTCTCAGAAATCTCATTCCCTGCTTTTGTTAGAAGTGTTTAAAACAAAGTCTAGATTGTAGGTGACCCATATCCTGTTTCTCCCCCTTGGTGGAGAGGCACACAGTCGAAAAGATGGACACTTCTGCTGTTCTCTGTCTCCCTGTTTTAAATTCATGTACTAGGATAGTTCAGATGTTATCTGATAAATGTTAGAACACAAGGATACCATTTATTTTTTAATAAGTAACAATGTCAGAAGGTGATTTCTAGATAAATAGTATTATTGTATAAAATGGATAAATTACTTATTTTAAGCATGTAGGAGATTAGGAAATATTAAAATTAATTTGTTATTTTCTTTTTTTTTTTTTTTTTTGAGACGGAGTCTCGCTCTGTAGCCCAGGCTGGAGTGCAGTGGCCAGATCTCAGCTCACTGCAAGCTCCGCCTCCCGGGTTCACGCCATTCTCCGGCCTCAGCCTCCCGAGTAGCTGGGACTACAGGCGCCCGCCACCTCGCCCGGCTAGTTTTTTGTATTTCTTAGTAGAGACGGGGTTTCACGGTGTTATCCAGGATGGTCTCGATCTCCTGACCTCGTGATCCACCCGTCTCGGCCTCCCAAAGTGCTGGGATTACAGGCTTGAGCCACCGCACCCGGCCAATTAATTTGTTATTTTCTTAATGTATAAATTTCTTTGCCAGTTGAGTTTGCTGCAAGATTCTTTCTCTCTCTGTCCCTATAATACACACACACACACCGCCCCCCCCCCATATATTTATTTATTTTCTATACTTTATTGTGCTAAGGCAAATCTACTATCCTGGGATGTGCCATTTTAGGAGCTTATTTTCTTAAGATTTTATCACTTTAGTTAGACCCTAGAGAGACACTTCAGAGGTCACCATAAAGAACATGGTAGGACAGGAAATATTTTCAGAAGAAACCCATATTTTGTGATGTAAATAGGTGATATTTTCTCTATTACAGCCTCTCACAGCTTCACCTAAGCAAAAGATTTAGCAGGAGCAGTGTCACTGCATTTTTCTGAGAGCCAAGAGGAAAGACAAAATGATCTTATTTCAAGCAGGGAAGTTTGAAATAAAGAAAAATCAGTCAATCTTCCCACTTTGGGTTGGAGGTAAAAGTGGTGTGTAAGTGACTGAGCTGAGAGACAGACTAGATGGAATCGTAGATGTGATAGTAATGATAATGGGGAAGCCTCCCCATCTCGCTGAAAAAGATTTCTTAGGATTAAGAGTAGAAAGTGTAAGTTAGAAAAAGTAAATACATCCAGGGAAAGCTAGTAAATATAAAGAGGGGGTATGTAAGGACTATTGATTGTCAATTAATGATGATTTTCTTGGGGAAAGGAGAAGGGGAAATGATGGGAAAAGGGAAAGAAAGAAGTCGAAACTAATGAGAAAAATAACATTGACATGTAATAGAAGTTATGGGAAATAAAACTAGGACATCCTAAAATCCCTTAAATTCCAATGTTGAATTATTCATTCAAAAATAATGTCTGATGCCTACACCTGTTCCACTTGCGGGAGTCATTCCTCCTGTGGTTACTTGGGACCTATGATAGTATTGTCATCCTCACGATTATACATTTTCTCCAGTGGACACCACCCCTACCCATGTTGTCCTCTGCTTTCTCTCTGCTCTAGCCAGTGAAATGTTCTTTTGTTTACTTTTTCTTCTATTTCCTCTACAGGCTTGAATTGTATAGGAAAGTACCAAATCTGCGAATTCTGGCCTGTGGTGGGGATGGAACGGTAGGTCCCTGAAAGAGAATCCAGTTCTCTGCCAATTCTATATTTCTTATTGTTTTCTTGTGCCACTTCTTTTTATTCATTGCCCAGTCTTTCCAATCCCCTAACACACACAGATCTCTCATGTGGAACATAGCCCCTAAGAGTAACAAAGGACTTTGTTATTGTCCTTATGAATACATACTTGATCGTTCTAACGTGTGCTTCACTCCCTCAACTGTGCTGTATTCTTTCCTGTGCCATGAAGTAGGGATGTGGTCAAATCATTAAAATGAATATTATAGATAAATTCCTTTTAAAAAATAAGCTGACCTGTTTCCTTTTTTTTTTTTTTTTTTTGCCGAGACAGAGTCTCGCTCTGTCACCCAGGCTGGAGTGCAGTGGCGCGATCTCGGCTCACTGCAAGCTCCACCTCCTGGGTTCACGCCATTCTCGTGCCTCAGCCTCCCGAGTAGTTGGGACTACAGGTGCCTGCCACCACGCCTGGCTAATTGTTTAGTAGAGCGTGGGTTTCACCGTGTTAGCCAGGATGGTCTCGATGTTCTGACCTCGTGATTCGCCTGCGTTGGCCTCCCAAAGTGCTGAGATTACAGGCATGACCATTTATTCTTAATAATTTGGCCATAGTAGGGAGAAATACATGGACACAATTGAATTATTACTTTTTTTTTTACTAGTGGAACTAAAACTCAGAATATTGACTGTTGTTTTGCCCTAAATATTATTAATTGGTCCTATTTATATTCTTTTTTGTTGATACATTTTACATGTATATGGACTATGTGTGATATTTTGTTATATGCATAGAATGTATAATGTCAAGGTTTGGAGGTATCCATTACCTAGATGATAATTTCTATGTGTTGGGAACATTTCAAGTTCTCTTTTCTAGCTACTTTGAAATACATAATACATTGTTGCTGACTGTACTCACCCTACTCTGCCATTGAACATTAGAACTTATTCCTTCTATCGGACTGTATGTTTGTATTCGTTTATGAAAAAAACGTGGAATTGGGCTGAAGGTTAATATCATAGATATATTTTTTCCTGTTTATTATGCCTCATCTGTTTTCTTCATTTGGCCTCTACTTGTAGTGATATATTTAACAAAGTAAAGAATTGAGAATCATGACATTTAGATTGTATTGTCTGGTTCTTTTTCTTCTGGATTTGGAATCTGATCTCATAGGATCTATGATTGTATCATGAACTATCTTTAGCTTTTCTCTAATTTCTCTAATTAGAATGTTTTATTCTCAAAGGTAGCAACAAAATCTTCCAATACTATCTCTCTTAGCACATAAGCACTTAATGTAGGGTTGGATGCACATTATATACCAATAAATGCAATCACAATGAAATAGAACTGTGATTTTTATCGGTCTTTCAGATACTCTGTGGAGAATAAAAACAATGTTCAGTTGGGAAAAATAGTCTTTATCTTTCTTCAAGGTTTATATTACACAATATTAGTTTATAAAATGCATTATAATGTCTTACAGCAAAGAAGCCAAACCTATTTAACTTTTTAAAATCCAACGGTTTTCAAAATTATTTGGCCATGGAATTTTTTTCCCACACAATACCAATTTTCAATTGATTTTATCGTTCTAGGGAGACATATTTAAGGGATGTGCTAGGGCAAAATTTCCCAACTTTCTTTAGTAAGAATTACATCCGAATGAACCCTCTGAGGATGGATATACTGTGTTCTTCCTAACTCAAGCATCCCCCAGCTTAGTTATCTTTAATGAAAGGGTAAACTCATTGTGATTCTGTACCATACCCATAGTTATCTTCCTTATTTTAGCATCTACTTGCCTTCTCATATGACTTCAGATGTCACTCACATCTTTTCTCCTTTTCTAAACCTCAGTGACAAAAACAGGTAAGTTGAGGATGTCGTCCTTCCTCTTTCTTAACTCAAATTCATATAAGCTACGCATAACATCCCCAGATCTTGGACTTCTTTGTTGCCTTGGGTGCTCCACCTCCCAGGCCTCCCCTTCTCCATGGAACCTCCCACTCTACCTCTCCCTCCCTCATTCTCTCTCCTTTCTTCTTTCTTTTCTTTTTTTATTCTTTCCTTTTTTTTTTTTTTTTTTTTTTTTAGACGGAGTCTGGCTCTATCACTCAGGCTGGAGTTCAGTGGCATGATCACTGCTCACTGCAACCTCTGCCTCCCAGGTTCAAGTGATTCTCTTGCCTCAGCCTCCCGAGTAGCTGGGACGATAGGCATGTGCCACCACACTGGGCTAATTTTTGTATTTGTAGTAGAGACGAGCTTTCACCATGTTAGCCAGGAGGGTCTTGATCTCCTGACCTCGTGATCCACCCGCCTTGGGCTCCCAAAGTGCTGGGATTACAGGTGTGAGCTGGGAAGACATGCCTGCCTGTCTTCCTTCTTTACTCAGCAGATATGTGGAGGAAGCACTGTGCTAGGTCATGTAGTATTGAGATACTCTCTGCAATTAGGTGAATATTTGAAAGTATGGGATTCCAATGAATAAAGGATAAAGAGGAAAGACAGCCAAGTCCACACACTTGTGAAACCTATAATTATGGGGTCTGAGCCAAAGTCCAAAAGGAAAATAAATGAAAAAATAGAAGAATAGGACAACCACCAGTCTGTTCTGGCAAGTAAACAAACCAAAAAAGGAGTTTCAAGAAAGAGGCAGTAGTTAACGTTTTTAAGGAGACACTGAAAAGTTACCATTGCATATGGAGTTTCAAGAAAGCAGTTTCAATAGAGTATCTGGGGCAAAACCCAGAATGATGAGTAAGTAAATGTTGGTACAATCTTAATAAATTCCTAATGGCCAGATCCGATTACAGTTTCGAATGTCTGTGATCTCTCTGATGCCATTGTCAGCCTCTTGACATGTAGACTACCTCCTTCTACTTTTCATATCCAGTCTTTTCAAGCAACTCTTCATTAATGATACCATAATTTATGAGTATTCCATAAGGGTAACTAATTTTTTTTCATGTGGTAGGTACTTTTTCCTCTTAGGGACATTATCTATATTTTAACTTCTGTTTTTACCTCCTCTGATGTAATTCACAAATGTACTAGTCATTTACACTTGGGTGTCCCATGGCCACTTGCATTCAGCATGCCTAAAATAAAAGTAGTACATTTACCCTAGAGTTGGTGCATTTAGACTAATTATTTTTGTCAGTGGTAACATCTGCAGTTAAAATACTCAGAATCAAGACTTTGCTTATCTGGTACCTTATGTAAACCCAAGTTTAATTTACCTTGTTAGAATAAGAGGTTTTGTGAAAAACATGGGGTATATGAAATGTTTATCATGGTATGTGACTGATATTTTTTTGTTTTGTTTTGTTTGTTTTCTATCACTGTAGAAGCTGGCAGAATGCTGCCAGTAAAGTGACAAAGCTCAGGGAGAAATCAGAAATTAAATATTTTTGACTGACTAGGATGAGGCTGTATTACCCCATAACCAAATTAGTTTAAATTAAGAGTATTATTTAAGATATAGAAAGTATTATTTAAGGTATAGAAAGTTTGCACTACTTTGGAAAAAAGTTCTTAGCCTTCAATATTAGCTACTTTAATTGTATGTTACTACATGAAAGGCCAGGTATGGTGACTCACGCCTATAATCCCAGCACTTTGGGAGGCTGAGGTGAGCACATCACTTGAGGTCAGGAGTTTGAGACCAGCTTGGCCAACCTGGTGAAACACCATCTCTATTAAAAATACTAAAATTAGTTGGGCATGGTGGTTCATGCCTGTAATCCCAGCTACTTGGGAGGTTGAGGTGGGAGAATTGCTTGAACCCAGGAGGTGGAGGTTGCAGTGAGCCAAGATTGCACTACTGCACTCCAGCCTGGGTGACACAGTGAGATTCTGTCTCAAAAACAAACAAACAAACAAAAACAAAAACAAAACTAAGGAAGCAGAGGGATACATTCCCCAATAATGCACTTGGAAGTAACCTTTGGCAGGTTCCTTAACCTCTTTTGAGACTTCCTAAATCTACAAAGAAATGCATTCAGATCTCTAAGGTTCTTATAGCTGTAGCATTATAGTAGTATAGACTATTGTTCAAGATAACTTTAATGCAAGCCACATTTGTACAATTTTGAATTTTCTAGAAGGTACTTTTAAAAAGGTAAAAAGCAAGTGAAATTAATTTATAATATATTTTATTTGTCTAAAATAGTATCGTTTCAATATGTGTTAATTTATAAACATTAAGATATTTTATGTTCTATTTGTACAGTCTTCAAAATCTAGCATACATTTTATACTTACAGCACATCCAATTTGGATGAGCTATATTTGAGTGCTGGATCACCACGTGTGGCCAATGGCTGCTGCGTTGGGCAGTGCAGGTGTAGTCTCTTTGTTACTGGCTTGTACAATTCAGAGGCTGTCACATAGTTACAGCTGTCAGATGGTCTGATTCCATTTTCAGATCTCTTGGCTTCAATAAAATTCAGCTAACTCAAGAATGATCTCAAACCTTCATGTTTGTAAATGAGAAATAGCCTGTCCTTGGTCATGTGATAAATTTGTATATTCTCACTTCCTTGGCCACGTTGACACCTATTCAACTCCCAATGGCTGTCACCCTGCTGAAATATTGACGAGCACATGAACTGATTTCCTCAGGTACCCTCATTATGGCTCCTTAAGGTGTGACCTATGGTCCCTATCTATCTGGCTCCTGACTTTGGTGAACTTGGCTGGATCTGCAAGTCTACCTTTAAACATTTTAATTATTTCCGAAAGGCCTGATGTTAAATTGACTCCAGCCATCCACTTCATGCTTACTTCTTGTTCTATTGGCTTCCCTAGATGAAAAGACATCTAAAATGGTAGGTATCCCCATGCCCTGACTCACCACAGCTAATGCAAAGAAAGAAGTATTATTTTCCTTTAATCGATATGGACAATCATCTCTCATCCTAAGCCCCTTTCCTCATTCATCCTCAGCCTAGTTATATTTCATAGTCTCTCATGAGTA